AGAAACACTTGAATAGCTTGTGCTTTCGCTTTGGTGGCTTCTGTGATGGGGCGGGGGGCGCAGGAGTGAGCGAGGGTGGAGGGAGGGGAGAAGCAAAGAGTGCTCTGACTCCGCCGCGTTGCACCTATAACCTGAGCACGTTAACGTGGAAGTACAATTTGAATATTGAATTAATAGGCAATACATGTCTAATAAACCCTACCTTATTCTGTAAAACAGGCAGTTTTGGGAACCTTTTCACAATGAATTTTTTGAAAAATTTAGGGATATTCTACCTACTCTTGACGTCATATTAAGGTATGGAATTTTTAATATCTACTTTAGTTGATAAAATGTGTTTGAAGCAAATAAAAAAATATATATTTAATTTCTATGTATTACAAGTCTCATTTCTCTAAATGTAATCAATAAAATAAAGGAAATCTGGGTAAATTTGCTAGCAGTCTAGTGAGTTCCTACAGATGCATATCTTTGACAGTTTTTGAGAAAACATACGCTAAATTTCGCTCTTTTAACAGAGTGAATCAGGGACGGACTGTACCTTTGGCAACTTCGTTTTTCGAAACAATTTTTTTTATCCTTTACATCCACTCTACACTTTAAGCACCACCGTAAATCTCTGAAGCGAGTCGATCCCCGAGGAGACGTATCTGGAAGGATTCGGCTGCTCGAAGTGCAGCTGCCGAGGCAGGTAGCGAGGGCCTCGCACCTGCCGAGAGGCTGGGCAGACGCCGCGCGCCATCTGGCGGTGTGCACCGGCCACGCGCCCACCGCGGCTGCTGCGGTCGGGGGGCACGCGAGGGGGCATGGCGGTGCCGTAGTCATGAACCATACTTCCTTGGTCTACGGCGGTGCTATCCCCTCGCACCTACACTCCCTAGATACAGAGGAGTTACTCTAAGAAGGGACCACTTTGACAGGTCCGGAAACCATTGAGCGATGACATTGTAAGATAAAATCGGCTGAACGGTTTACCCGCTAGCGTTGTTCACAGACGGAAAGATGATCGGACATGCAGGCGGACAGACGTTTTGCTGTCATTCGATTTTTCGGTATCAAGGACTCACAAAACATGGATACTGGCTACAACACGTGTTAAAGGAATTTTCTTCTAAATTTAGCAACTGGATTTATCCACTTTTTTGTTACCAGGTCCCCCAAATAAGAGTTTTTCTGCTGAAAATTCGACGTTTTTCCCCGGAGCATTATGTAACTTTCTCTCTACTGCGGTAGCGAAGAAGTACAAATTATAGGAAATAGCTCCAGCGCAAGTTTGCCCACATTTTTAAATGAAAGCAAATATTTCCGCACATAACTCACCAATCACGCCCCAATATGAATTCGCAAAATGAAGCCAACATAATCGCCTACATGACTGAAAGGAGCATAGCCATCTTGGTGTATTGAAGTTGCGATGGATGAAGGTGGGAAGGATGTGTTGGAAGATACAGCAAAATCGCTTAAGTCAAGGAACTGAGACTTTCTTTTGTTCTAGAGGCTTTTCGTTAAGGCGACCCTACATATCCGACATTCGCCGAACTGTGATCATCTGCTCGTCCAACCCCAAGCAGCTTATGTGCTCGGCGAACGTTCGTCGCTCGGCAAATAGCAAGCGACCCATCCACACTACTCGGGATTCGGCAAGCGACCGCTCGCTACTCGCTGAATACTGAATGTGTGGAGCCGCCTTGAAGCACAATCCTTCTCAGGCTGTTTGCGCCCCCTCCAAATTCAACCTTGGGCGAATGGCGTTAGGGGCGTGTCAGGCGATGGAGGAGAATGAAGTTCATGAGGGGGAGGCACACATGACTTTTGGGGTCTGGTCCACGCGAGTCACAATGAAATGCACCAGTCGCATAAAATTGGACTATTGCGCCAATAAAAATACCTTCAAAACATTTTCTAAAAATGACAAATATTAATTTTATTCATGAAACGCATGCTTTAATTTTGCAACACCTCTTATAAATCGTGTTTCGCAGTATATGATTGGCCACTAGAGAGAAACGGTAAGAAAAGACGAATGAAAATTCGGTTGGGCTCGGTAGAAAAAGCATCCTTTTGTAGATTCACCGCATTTATTCGCGCAAATCAAATGCCTTTTTAAATGCTATGCGTTTATCAAAAAATCTATGAAAATTACACACCATTACATAGCTAAATAATGAAGATAAATCAAGAAACTACGTTTTCGTGCATGATAATTAATTGGGATGATAAACATACCAAAACACTAACATCGAAGAAAGTCCTTGGTTCGCAGATACAAAACAACATAAATATTTGAGGTAGAGGATAATGGGCACTATCCACTTCTTCACAATGAAGAGAACATGAACGTTACTCCAGAGTCTGAAGACTCGATTTTGACCATCACGAGTAAAGAAATCACTATTTAATTTATACGAATTTTGTTTATTTAGGTATTGTTGTATTGTATGAAACAGTAATTTCTCTTTAATCCAAAAATACATTGCAGTATAAAGTATAGATATAAAAGATGACGAGTTATCATTAAATACTTTTTTCTATATCCAACGAATAATTCAAGTGAGTTGTATTTTAGCAGTAAAAGAAAACTCAATACTGTAATGAAACTGTAGCGAACCGTCAACATTGACTGTAAGCCTTAAATGGCCATTGAAATACTCATTAAGGACCCATTAAAAAAAGGACGTGCGCTTACCAGGGGGCAGAGCATTGAGAAAGAGGAGGGAGGGGGTTGATGAAAGATGAATGTTCTAGTAATAATTTTACAACACTTTTAATATACATATTACATTGTACATGAATGTTCAATTGATCAAAAATATATTTTCCTTTTGGAATTGGAAACAGTATATAAATACAATTTCATCTATTTCTTAACGAAGTTAAATAAAATTAACTTGGGAAGAAATTCAAATAAAACTTTCTTCTTCTGGACGGGTGTTAAGTTAAGATTGATTGATTAGCAATTCCGCCCGCATCAACTTAGAAGGTCGTTAGCCCCATAAGTGTAGTGCATGCTTTATCGCTGTTGTTGCGGTGATCATTTCTAGGTGGATGACGAGATCCGGCGCCGGCCCACACATCGACTCGTTTTTTTCCTACACCAATCGCTTACCAGAGGGGCACCGCCCCAGCCGCGAAAAGCTCAAAGTTCCCGACTGTTCTCCCTACATGTGTGGTGGTGTAGTGCTCGTGAGTATGGTAAGGAGGGAGGAAGAGAAACGGAAGGAAAAATTGCGCGAGATCGGTGGCCCTTTTGATAGGGTACTGCTTCGGCATTCGACTAGAAATGATAGAAAAAACAGGAAAACTACTGATCAGAACAGCCGGCCGCTAGAATTCTCTTCTAAACAGCAGCAGAATTCGACGTAGCTGCCAGGTTAGTTTCGAAAATTCTGCCACCGTCGAGGCTCGAACCGTAGGACCTCCGGGCCAGAATGAGTTAGGAGTTGAAGCGGAGGTTCAGGAGGTTTTTTAAACGCTGAATTCCGCGAACGTAATTTCGGGATGGCGAAATGGAGCAGGGGGCGTGGTGAGGGGGGAGTGGGGAGTGGGGAGGGGGACGGGGGCGCATTCCTCCGAAACGCTGCGCGGCCGGTTCTCAAGTGGCGCACGGCAGCGCCGCCGCGCGAGCGCCGAGCCCACTTCTCGTGCTCCGTCGCCACGCACCTACGAGCGCCCCAGCTCCAGCCCAACTCACAAAACCAAACATTACCCGACTGAGGAATAAACATTCAAAAGGTGACATGTCCATTTGGCAAAAAATCAGTTCTTCTGTTGCTATAACCTTCAATTTTATTTCCGGCAAAAAACGTGAGATGTCTTACAATAGATTGGGTAGTACCACTGGCGGATCCAGAGGGAAGGGGGCATGGGGTCCATGCTCCCCCAAAACAATCCTAGAGAAAACGTTTGTTATCTTTTTTATTATCCAAAATATATTTAAATATTTATTTCTGTTAGAATTATAAAATTATTTAGAAAATAATAACGAATAGTATCATATATTCACTACAAAAATATAATAACAATTATGTTTATTATTTAACAAATCTGCCCCCCTCCCCAAATGATCGGCAGGTTCAGCCCCTGGATAATAATATACTCTATTCGTTGAGTTAAAGACTGTGTTGAGAAGTGTAAAATACATACTATATTTTTACTTTTTAGTGGAAAAGAGTGAAGAGGACGTGTAATGTTTTGAAAGCATGCTCCTCAATTCAGATATGTTACAACTACATTAATGAATTATTCGGAAGAAGATCGAATTTTCATTTCTCTGATGGATAACATCGAAATCTTTCGACCCACATCACTTCGAGAAAAGTCGAAGAATGAAGCAGTCCTTTTAATCCATTTTCCAGATAAGTTTGAAATTTATATGACATTATTACTTATACTTAATATGTGAGTTGGTACGATAATGTCATTTTGTCGTTATCTTTATTGCGAACATCTCTATGATAATATTTATATCTGGCGATCACGTCCTTGTGTTTCGTACGCGATTATCCGCATCGCAGATGTTTAAAACACCCTGACAGGCACGCTGTTGACAGACATAACAGATGATTCTTGAAAGTAGTTGTAAAACGATTTCGATTCCTACGCGAATTGGTCGACCCATTGCCGACTACAGAATTTGTTATATCAACAACAACAAAATGCGGAACAATGAATTAAGCGGGAATGAACCTCTGAAGGTCCAGACCCCTCCACCGCCCCCTCACAACGGAACATCGACCAAACAACCAGAAGCAGCAACAAGAAGTCATCACATCTCTCCCTCTTCCTCTCTCTCCTCCTAACCTCTCTCTCTCCCTCCCTCCCTCCCTCTCTCTCTCTCTCTCTCTCTCTCTTACCAACTATCTCTCACCCTTTCTCTCTCTCTCACACACACACATATTCACACACATACACATACAGACACGCTCGCACGAATTCATATTGCGATACATCAAAGGCAACAACTAAACCAAAACACTGAACGGTGACTATATTATACTCACGCCACTGGCATTCCCCTGGCAGGAGCCCGCAGATCGCGCCCGTCATCATTCTTCTATTCACTCGCGGCACAAAAAGGTTCACACGAATCGACGCCTCATCGCATACACTTGGGCACTACTGTCACGGCGACGCCACACAACATCCGCACCTCGGCTCACACGCGCGCGCGCACACTCAGCACGGAGCACCTGGACCCTCCGCCGCGGCCACGGCACAGGCGGCGCCGCAGTGATGGCAGGCAGGCAGGCAGGCGCCTTGGCCCGCCCGCCCGCACCGCGCCGCGCCCAGGTCGCGCGCAGGGCTGCCAACGTGCGCCCGCCCACAGGCGCGGAGGCCTTGGGCGCGCAGGGGAGCGCGCTGCTACCTCCTGGACGCACACACAATCCGTCGGGTGCGGCGGTTTGGCTAGAAATGGTCTAATCTCGGAAAGAAGAAAACAAATTTTCCAAACATCTTCCCATATTCTACCACCTCACCCTTACTTCGTAAAGAGAGGAAGTATTGTATTCGTGCCCGCAAAACGACGAATGTTTTGGCACAAATACTCCCTGGTAAGGAAATTTTGGATAAATCTTTTTCCTATATACAGTAAATTACTCCATCTAATATTCAGAAACCATGTTTTATGGAACCTTGATACCGAAAAATCTATTGACAGCAAGTTGTGTCTGTCCGTCTTCTCTTTCAGTCCATATGTGGTCAACGTTCAACATTTTCAAAATTTCGCAAAAATGGCTCCAAATGTTTTTTATTAAAGTCTCCTTGGAGCGGAAAAGACGCTTAAAAGAATGGAGCATGTATAATTTTCATACAAATCTCTGAATTTTCGAAAATTGCAAGATCAAACTTTTTTCGGCGTTTTCCCTCAACTACGATCATGATGATAGACAATTTTTCTTAAATAAAATATATTCTTTAAAGACAAATCTTGGAAATCTATTTTTTTTTTAAATATGACTAATTTCCGGCAATTTTTCGTGAAATTTAGGGAGTTTTTAAGCAACTATTTTCTCAAACAAAGCTTCAATTACTTTTTTTAATTTTCTCATCGTGTGTGAGGCAGAACGGTAAAGAAAGTCCTGCTGCTCTAATTTCGGACAAGCTCTCTCTGATTTTGAAAATTACAAAACGTTACACATGTACTCATAAATACAATAATGTGAACAAATCGCCGCTAATGTAAATATTAACGATATGAGAGACAAGTCAAGTGCATTTTTGTGTAATTTTTAGGAAAAAAACAAGAGAATAGAGGAATATGGCGTTTATGTCATCTGCTAGAGCACATTTAGTACTATTCCTACTGAAAGTTTAAAGAAAAAATTTGGAGCCGTTTTTGAGAAAATTTTGCTTGCAGTATTGCGCTAAAACTACTCAAGCTTTAATATATATATATATATATATATATATATATATATATATATATATATATATATGACCTTAATAAAAGAATTAATTAGGGAAGACAAATTTTATTTGAAAGAAAAATCTCTATTTTAAATTTTGTTGTAAGAAGTTCCTGACAAAAATCAAACTTTTGCAATTTTCGATAATTTAGAGTTAATCATGAAAATCGAACCTATGCCACGTTTATAAGTGTATTTTACTCCATTCTTACAAGAAATGTTTAAAATTTGGGACGCCGTTTTAGAGAAGATTTTGAAAATGTCCGTGGGGCTTCGTTTAAAGTACTCCCAAATTTTTGAAGAAAGTTTTTCAAAATCGCTGGGCCTCAAGTCGAGCCATATCGAATGGGGGGAATCCATTCTGGATGAAATCGTATGTATGGTTTTAGGTGCAAGTGATGTTCACAGACGGAAAGAAAGACAGAGAGACAGACAGGCTGACAGACAGATGAACAGGCAGACAGACGTACGTTTTGAAAAATATAAACACGTTTTCTGTATTAGGAGATCCCAAAACGTGTATTTTGTGTATCTCGAAATCGATTTTCTACAGCATTACGTAACTTTCTCTATACTACTTATAGTGCCTCGTATGTACGTACGTATACGAGAAAGTAGAAAGTTTATTGCGCTGAAAAATGTTCAAAATAACTTTAAAATTATATGATTATGTTATATTTAGTCTGTTTTAATGAGTATCTGGCAGTGTAAGACAGTTTTAATGACAGAATTTGGAAAATTAAACGTTTAGCTATGCCACTCAGCTATTACACAGAAATCAATGTTGCGAGTGGTTGAGGTGAAGATAGTTCTAAAAACTTGTAAGAATTTACTATTTGTTGAAGGTCACCAAGAAATAATTACTTCGGAAAAAAAAAATTAAATTCCAACATTTGAGATAATGTTATTGTATTAGAAAGACAAAAAATAGAAAATATTTTCGGTTTAGTTTAGAAAATAATATGTAGTACTGTGAAATGAAATATGGACAATAAGTATTATCCTAGTTTTTAATATCCCGTCTAGATACAAATTTTCATCCCTCAATAAGCCCTTGTGCATACATTTAGAATCTCGTTTTTAATTTGTGTCATTTTTGTGTTGATTTAGATCCGCAGTTTCTAGACATTTTCAGGAAAAAGAAAAAAATAATGTTATTCCTCATGACATGATTCATGTCAATGGACAACATTCATTAATTTCATTTTTTTTTTCCTAAAATAGTTTTAAAATTGTGTAACAACTAATCAAAACGCATATTGTGCACTGGTGAAAAAAATTGAGTTTGATATGAAATCGTGTAGTTTTTAATACGTTCTACGCGTTCTTGATTTCTTCAAAAATGTGTTTTAACACAATAAATTAAATGCGTTTTGAGAAAATCTGAAAGCAGGAGCGTGTAGAACTTATTAAAAACTGCACAATTTCATATCAAACTCATTTTTTCCACCAGTGAACAATATGCGTTTTAATTAGTTGCCTCTCGATTCTACATCTGTTGTACATTTAGTTATATTCGACAGAAAATCGAAATATACAAAATATATCCGTTTTGGTCGTATTTAGCAAGACGAACTTGTATTACGAATGTAATATTGAATGAAATCGGTTCCTTTGTTGTCGGGCGGAGCGGTAGAGTCGCTGACCGATACGTCGTCTAGGGCGGAGCGCCGCTTACTATATGATACGTATGCAGTGGTTCTGCCTCACCGCTGCTGACCTCTGGCGACATATATTAGGGAACAATCCTCTTAGTGACAGGCGAAAAATAATGATCGTGGAGCATCTACCAACATATTATGTAAATTATTTATTTTACACGTTTATGTTGAATTTATGCATATCAACCTTTGCACGGAGACTGCGACAATCCTGAAGAAGACCCTGTAAAAATGTCGTATTTACTCATATACCCCTTATTGTGATATAGAGTGCTTGTAATTAATTAGCTATTCTTAGAATAGATAGAGATTTTCTGTTCAAATAGAATTTGTTCTTCACAATCGGTTCTAATTATTTTCTTAACATTTTTATATATATATA